GGGAAGATCCCACATGCCGCAGAGCGGCTAGGCCCGTGAGCCATGGCCGCTGAGCCTGCGCATCTGGAGCCTGTGCTCCGCAAGGGGAGAGGCCACAACAGGGAGAGGCCCACATACCGAAAAAAAAAAAAAAAAAAAACTCAAGCGTTACATTAAAGCATTATTGGGTAGTATGATTTCTTGGGCCCTTCACTTAGGATTATTTAGGGACAGAGCTTAAGATGGCTCTGAAGTCTTTGCCTCTCTATAGGTGATATATTTAGGAAACTGACAGCAGGCTACTCGCTCCAATCTTAAGGAAGAAATTTACTGCACACACATTTTTTTTTTCACTAAGAGCAAACGAAGCTTATTTATTTTCTCTATATTTCTTTCAGGCCAATAAAGTTTTGTCACCTCCATAGCCTCTCATCATCTGAGACAACTTGGGTCAGCCCAGAGGGTAACTCCATGTCTTTTCTGAAATCAAACAGTTTTCCTTCTCAGCTTATCTCTGTTCGCTGGGGTTGTCCAGTTTCACATGCCTCAGCTACTAAAAGACGGCTCTTTCATTCAGTTGGTATCTGACTACAGCCTGAGGTCCGTTTATTCAGTAGAGTATTCCCAAGGTGGAGAGAAAGCTTAGATTCTTCGTTTTCTAACAAAGAAACTATTGGTTTGATCAACAAATGTAAGATTCTTGGATGGGGATAGAATTCTAAGAATACCGTATTCCCATATTTTTCTTTCTAAGGAAGGAGCCCGATTGCTGGCTCTTCATCCTGCTTGAAATATCTGGGATTCTTCTGTTGTTGTTTTAAATTTTTTAAAATGTTTCTCCCTTTGATTTTAGTCAATGAAAATCTTGCCTGCCAAAACTCATATATATGTAGAGAGCAGAAAAAGATAAAAAGCAAGGGAGTTTGAGGTTTTAGTCTTTGAAAGGCCCTTCTTTGAAGATACTGAGAATCTTGCATGTGAATCTGAAACAGAACTGCAGAACCACTCATTTATTATTCTGATAAATAAACATATTTGCGTGTAATGACTGCTGTGAGCCCAGGGGAAAGATAAATACAGTCCTTTGTG